TTCTAATCGATTAGAGAGTAAATTTTCGTTCTTCTAACACTAACAAAAATTTAGAAAATTGCGACGGTTTATTTTGATAGATTACGGCGGTTTCAACTGTCGCAATTTGAAAGTTACTATGGTTGTTGTTCTACCGCAGAAATGTGAGTCGCGAGATCGTATCGCGACGGTTGTTAAAACCTACAAACAAACTGTTGTTATCTCTCATGACGGGTAGGTAACCGATATAATCAGCATATTTCAACGGTTTTCAATCGTCTTAACTTTTTGTTTGATTTTTGTTTTTATTGTTGATTGCAATGATTACCACTACTAGAAATACTTTGTTTACCTGCGGATTTTATCTAAATTTCCGTAGATTTCCTGCGGTTTTTTCTACTATTTTCTAATCCCAACTAAAATATACATGGTAATATTTTCAGCAGAAAAATCTGCGGGAAATAACAGCAAGTAAATCCGCAGAAAATGACGAATTAAATTATTTTTGATTTTAATAAATTTTTAAATATTAAATTTATATTATGGTTATTTTAATAATAAATTTGATTTAAAATATTCTGAATTTAAATAAAACAAATTCAAATTCATAGAAAGTTATAGAAAATATAGTCAATCTTTAAACATTCTCATTAATTTACCCTATACATGATGCTAATAGCTTAGTAACAATTTAGTTCTTAGTTGTGACAATGACTACACAATCTAATGCAGGGTATCAACAACAACAAACATAAGAAATTAACAATATCTTGTCGTATATGTAGAATAATTTACAAAAAGGAAAAAAGAAAGATAATAGCTTGTTACTTTTTCATTCAAACCATTACACCATCATCTTGTGTTGAAGCCTGTGAGTAAATTCGAAATCAAAGTGCACAAAGGCTCTTTCAACTTTCAGGAAGTTGCTCAAGCTTCTCTTGAAGTGTCTCACCAATATTGTGTGCTTGATTTAATGGTATGTCTTCTAGCAACACAATATCTACTTCAACAAAATAATGAGCACCAAAAGTGTATGCTCGCACAGTATCTATGCATCCAATTAAGTATCTATGTGTTTAACAAAATAATTCTAGCAACACAATATCTACATACCAATTAAGATATCTATTATATAGCAAATTTTCTTTCCTATTGAAATAATGTATTTTCATTGAAGCAACTTTGGTTAGTCCCTATACCATGGCACAATTGATAATAATTGATGATGCTTGGATTGGAACTGTAGAAATATTAAGATAAAATATTAACCATTGTTAGTGTTGCAGAACCAGCCCCGGCTTTTGCCTGTAGCATGAATACATTTTATTAGATTATGATGAATTGGTAGAATGAAGCAAATGAATGAGTGTAAATGGTCAATTGCTAAGTGATAAATTTATGATATTGCCTCAACAACTTGTGTTCCGTCATTTAATAATAAAATGACGGTTGTCGTAAATCGTTGTGGCAACTGTCTCTATAAGAGAGTTACGATATTTATCGAGTAATTGTCGCAATTTTTGTATTGTAAAATTTTTTTTGTAGTGTAATTAGTTAGAACGCTTCCTAATATATTATTAAATGACTAGAAATGATTTTTAAGAGTATTTTGAAAGAGATGAAATTTGTAAAATAATTTTAAGTCTCTCTGTGTATGTGTACGTACATGCGCGTGCGCGCGTATTATTTTAGTACCTTGAGAGAAATAATATTTATTTACATACTATTGAGCCTAAATTAGATTTGTATGTAGTTCTTTCGATTTTGGGATGGAATAAGAGTTCTTCAGCAGGAACCTTACTTCGTATAAACTAGCAAATGTTAGATCTACTCTGCATAAACTAGCAAATGTTAGATCTAATTCTAAAAGTTAATTGGTTATTGATTATAAAGAGAATCGACAAAATAGACAGTTATATACAAATATATATGTACTTAAGATAATATACTATGCCTTTATCTTTAAAATATAGCATCAGCCTCCCACATCGGTGCCATTTAATTGCGTTAGCAGCAAATGAAAATTTTACAATTATTATTTCCATAAAGGCCGATGGTTTTAAAGAGAGGGTAGCAGAGATTTATCATCTTAAGCAAGAAAAAGGCTTTGTGTTTGTTGTGATGCGGAAATATAAATAATAGAAAAAATGACAAAAAGTAAAGTTGGAAATATCGGTATTAACAGTGAGAATGTTTGATGAGGTAACTTTATCATTATTCATTACATATTTTTCATGTGCATACATAGGTGAGTGATATGCTCTTCTACTAAGATTATAATACTACCACTTGTTACCCTCATTTATATCTTCTTTCGATCTCTATGTTGTGAGGTCAGTGCATTGCCCAATAGAACGATGTACATTACTATTATCTAACATAGAGCATTAAGTCCCAATAGTCACAAAGGAGTGAGACTACACACCGATTCTGCAACAATGTGTGTTGATATTGGCAAGCACATTTCTCTATCATGTCACACCATAAAAATATGTTTTAGGCTACAAAACTAAAACAAGAACTAAGATTAAATAGTCACCAATATTACAACATAAGTATATTTACATATTATGTCATGACTTATTTAGCACATGAATATAATGACTACATCTAATCTCAAAAATAGAAATTTTAGCTACACTTTCACGTGTTTAGCATAACAGTTGGCCTTACTATAGGCGTCGACTTTAGAAATGGAATCTACCCTGTCACCTGAGCAGTGTTTTCTCCTTCATACTTCATTTCTTATCCTCCTATTGTATACCATAATGAGCCTACTCAAATTGTTTACTCCTCCGATCCATCGAAACTATCTTTACACAAAATTGAAAACTTCTATTTATAGGTAAATTTCTAAACCTCGTGTTGGGCGCACTATTTTCTCGCCCAACACTCCTACATTGCTTTGACACCCTAGTCTTCCAAATTTTCTTCTTTAGAAAGCAATGTTTGCATGTCTTTCATGTGTCCTTGGCCTCCATTGCTTGTGTAACACACCAACCCTTTAACTAGTGCACTAAACCTTGCTTCACCATAAAGTATTTGCATCAAGTGTTTCCACCGCCCTACACTACACCCAGTGTGCCTTAAAATGGGGCCTAGCGAGCCTTGATTCTTCTGGGTTTTGCTTTTTCCTAATTTCTTCATGTTGATTTGTGGTTTGCCTGATATTTTTGTTTGTTTTTAATAAATACATACAAGAAAAGTCCAACATGTGTTTCTTCACTTTTATAGATAAATCGGAGGGCGATGACTACTTGAAAAATATGAAGATAAGTGCCGGCGAATTTAAGGTAAATCTGAAACTTATCAACCCTCTCCAATTTTCCCTTTTGTTTGTACTCAAATAAAATCATCTGATGATTCCAAAAAACGTTGCATGTTTAACTTAACTGACTTTAGGCCGAGATTTTTTTGAAATTGTATTTATGACATGGTGTTATTTTTCAAATGCAAATCCATAATCAATATCATGACTATCCCATGAACTATAGCATATAGATGAATATTTTTCTTGAACAAGGATTTTTAAAATAAGTCAAAGTCAACAACTGATTATTTATCAAGATTGTAATTTGATCATCTCTCAACGATTACTATTTTTCTCAGATATTCAAATAATGCAAATACTATAGTAATAATTTGTATTTTGTCTCAGTATTATCACAAGATATATCATCAGTCATGGATCACTAAGGTCTATCACTAAGGTCTTTCTTTAGGTTGTAATGTGGATGAGTTACAAAAGAATATTGGTTTTTCTTTGGATTCAAAATCCTAAAGATGATAGAGTGTAAGGTATTTCTTTTTCACATATTTCTCCTTCTTTATTTCCACTTTCTTACAATCATTCGTTTTAGTGCTATGTTGTCTTTTGTATGTTTGACTTTTATTTATTTTTTACTTTAATTTTTGTCAAAGTATTTTTTTTCTTTCTTTTCTTGCACCACTACTACTTGAGTTTCTTTTTTGAAATCTCCCCTTTTTCATTTTTCTCCCCAGCTTTGGTTTTTACAATACCCTTGATTTTTTTCTTACTCTCATATCCTTAAGATAAGGTAGTGAATATTGATTTTCTTTTCAATTTTTGTCTAAGGGTTGTAATTTTGAAAAACAAAAATATTTTATTGTATGGCTCAAAGGGATTTGTCAAAGGATTCTCATCCTCACTAGGTAGGCTTTTTAGGTCAAGTAGCTTTTTCACTCAATACAAACTATGTCTTGATCATTTCCATAACTTTCAAACATATCAAGTAATTAGTAAGACTGATGCAAAGTCTAATTAGTTATTATACATATCTATTTTCATTATTTTATAAAACATGAGGTTGCACACTTCTTACTTTGATAGGCTTACGATTGGAACCAGTATACCTCATCGCATTCCTCAACCAGAACCACGACTCAAACTGTGGAAGAAAAGAAAAAATGATACCTTTGGACAAAAAAGGTTATGGTACTTCCTAGAAAAACAAGAGTTATCTAAAATAACAAAACTAAAATGGAAGAAATGTAGCTACCTTTAGTAGAATATGGTAATGAATGGCAACAAAAGCTTTAGGGGAGATTGATGCATAGGTTATGGTAATGGAGAAAAATAATTTGGTGAGAGGACGAGATAGCCACTGACTCTAAGAGAGTGACATGTTGAATTTAATTGAACTTTTATCAATGTTTTAGAAGCTTTCCAATTGAATACCCTCTTACTATCTCTATATATATCAATTTGGCACATGAAGAGATGTTTAGGGAGCAAAGAGTAGCATTGATGAGTAACAAAAATAGGCTATTATCATAACTAGAATTATCCGCATGATTTTAAGAACTGTTTTTGATTTTTACAAAATCCAAACCAAACATAAACATTAAAAGAAGAAACTACTGCAAAACATTACTTGTTAATGTTACATTTGCACATTTCAATTCAAATCCAAATTGATAATTAAGAATTGTTGTTTTTCCACATTGCATTAAAATATCAAATCACGATGTTAACTAATGGTAGTAGCTTGAAGCATGATCTAGCAGCAGCTCATGCATAAGACTGAAGGGTCACAGAAACACCCATCTAAGACGCAGCAACAACATAGAGCTGTAATACTGAAACAGAAAACAAAAAAGAAAAAAAGTTAGAAATGTTGAAAAGAACATGAAGAAAGCAAAATTAAAACTTTTTGGTTTTTCAGATTTTTAGACTGACCAGAACTCAAAGAATTCAGTACTCTGACTTTTGGGTGGTGGAAGAGCATATTGAGGTGGTGGTGCCATAGCTGGAGGACCTTCTGCATACCCTGCCAACAATTAAGAGCATGATTTATATAACTTGTGTGTATCAAGAGAAGAAAGATGAAAAAGTTACCTTTAGCAGGGTTGGGATTGGCATTCTTAGAGTCATTCATTTCTGAAATTTGGGATGCTGAAAACACAATATGATACAAAAATTTTATCTCTTATTTGCAAAATATGCAGTAAGGAGAAAGAAAGGACTTAGTTTTTGACTAGTGAGTATTGCTTGCTAGAATAGAGTCTTCACATTGAAGAATATATAATAATTAGAGCCAACCAAATTAGTCTTTTATAGTTAGCCATAATGTTTTTCTTCAATCTTGACTTCTTCTACGCGTCAGATGATACTCATTTTTTTGAAACTTCAACCTAAGTCTCTTTCTTTGGCCTTACAAATATGACCCAACATAAATGACTTGGTTATCCATCCTTGTTTTTTAAAGTAACGTTTGGATTGATATAGAATAGAATGAGACTTTATATTTTGTTGTTTAGATTAACTAAAAAAGATGATGAAATAAATATGATGAAATGTATTTTATCACTTTTAATATTTTTTATACTTTTTAAGTTAAACGATACGACAGAATTCTTTTATTTCAATATGATATGTTGTTCTCCATTTCACTCCTAATGTGTGAAGATGATAATTCTAGTGATTATCAAAGATCTCAAGTGCAAAACATTCAATGACTCTCTACATTTCACTTTTAACAAATAACAAGTTAGTTATTCTCTCTCTATAATATATAGAGAAGATGTCAAAATCAGGTAACAAGTTCTCACATACTGATTTGAGTGTTGGAGAGTTAACTTTGCATATCTACCACTTCACCGCGCTAGAAGTTACAATCTACCATCACCATCATTTAACCTCTCATTTCTAGTTCTCGAACAGAATAATGGCGTCATATATGAAAATCCATTATTGATTCCATACTATTTCTACAAATTCACATTCATTCTCCAACTTTTGGAGTTCGTAACTTCTTCCGATCATTGGAGCAAGTATTTGCACTCAAATGCAAGAAACCATCATGTTTGGACTCGATTTAGCATTATCTCAATCTTTTTTCCTTAGATTTCCAGATTCTCGGTTCTTACTTTCATCAGTGATGGCTGGATCTAAGGCTACCATATTCACCGTTGTGCGAGAAGTCGTCGCTGCTACTCTATAAGTAAAACATTAACCACCTCGTCCTCAGCCGCAAAACGACTTAGATCCTAAAATGGTCGTTTGTTGCATCCAAATCTAGTTCGAGCTTCGTAATTAGTCAAGTTTGTTCAAGCAAATCTGATAAAGACTCGTGTTCCACTTCCATTTACATAACCTGAAAATTTGTATGGCCTCTAAACTCTCCAAACAAACCTCGTTCTCTAAGGTGCTAATGAACTGTTGAACAACATGTTTAACATTATTCGAGAGCAAAATTCATATGCTTTCAAAGTAAGGCTTAAGTGCCTAGAAGAAAGCCTTCATAACGCCCATTCCCGCGAAAATACAGTTCAAGAAGTTACTTCAAGAAAAAACTCACATTAACATCCCAGAACCAGTCGAGACTAAGAAAGACAAGGATCCTCGACCAAAAGATCGGCGTAGAAATAGGAAACACCGAACTCGTCCTCCCGTCTCGGTGGAGACGTAGCAGTAAGCTCCTTCCCTGGCTCAAGCAGAACTAATCTGGTAAGAGTCCAAGCAAAGCATATGATGTAAATAAGGATCCTTAAGAGCAAGAATCCAATGTGTATGGAGAAGCCTCCCAAACTAAGTGATTATGATAGAAAGGGAGATCATGACGAATAGGTACAACTCATGAATGACCGCCTGAGTTACTTCAGCATCGGTGACACTTCTAAGTGCAAGTTATTTATGTTGAATCTGGTCGGGCTAGCCCGATTATGGTTTAATGGTTTTCCCAACAGAAGTATTGATTCTTTGGTGGAGTTCTGTGAGAGGTTTTTTGCGTAATTCACAGCCTTTAAGAGACGACTTGTAACTGAATCTGCCCTAAGAGGAATCATGCAGGGTAAGAAACAAAGTTTACAATCATATATAAACTTATTCATGTAGGTCTCTATAGAAGTAAAAGGGACTTAGGAATGTCTTCAGTGTTGGATCTTCTAGAATGGGAAAGTATGACAAGTGCACCCCCCTGACTGTCTCACTTGAGAAGATTTATCAAGACTCTGTGAATACTGGATTTCAGAAAGCAAGAATTAGATCCCCATACCCCGTTAGAGAGAGACCTCAGAAGAACAAATTAAAATGTTTCAGCCTTCATAGATGTCACGACCACAATAATGAAGATTGCATCCAGTTGAAAGATGTCATTGAAGAGCTAATAAATAGAGGACGACTAGTCGAGTATGTAAAGGGAGGCAAATAGGATAGAAAGGAGTCACCCAAGGGTAAATCTCCCTTGAAGACCATGACAGCCAACACAATTGGAGGAAGCATTGAGACAAACTGAGGTAATTGCCCATACATTACCGCCATAACTAGAGGAGCGCCATTAGAAAACCTCCCCTTCAAAGGTACCATGAAGATGAATATTGATGAGATGATGGTTGTCTACTATAGGGAAGGAAGCATGTTGTAACACCCTTCTACCCCAAAGAACATTCACAATAATTATAAACAATTATATCAGAGTACATTACCACAAGGGTGCCACATTTCATCCTAAAACTTCATAATAACGTCCTGCTCCGTAAAACGGGTTTTATTCATCATAATTTCAATCAGTTACTACGCAGCGGAAAGATTCAAAATCATCAGCATAATTTTTCATTTAAAAGTTTTAAAAACAATAACCCATAACTTCATGATGTCAAAAACAAAAGAACACAACGGTTCAATTCAAACGTCTCGACCCAATGATACATATCAGAGCAAAACCCTCTACTCGACAGAAATAACGGAAATACTTCAAGTCAATTCTTTACGAACAAAGAGCTAATCCTGATCACCTGCATGTTACCCACGTGGAGGAAACATTCGAACAGGCAGGGTGAGTAATCACAAATCATTATACGAGATATAAAGATAAGATATATTAAGATAGCATTCATCGTACCAAAACAACATCATCGTGAAATCCATGCATCATCATTTGTCAAGTATTATACTCACACCTCCATATTATAGTGTCATATATACATCTTCATTTATAAATTCATCAAACCAACAACTCATCACCAAAGCATCACTTAAGTCACAACATCATCACACGTCATTTTAAAATAACCTCATTAATAATAACAGTCATTCACATAGATGCAATGCAATATAACATGAAATGCAACAACATAGACTCATGTATATGGTATCAAATTAACATGTTGATGGACACTGGGCCATCACCCTCCAAAGATCCCCACCAATAGAATCGATTCTACACAAGAACAGGAGCACAACATAAACACCTCAATCAACACAATGGGATTGAAGCCAACACTGGACCGAAGTCCTATCAACAACACTGGACCGAAGTCCTAATATGCTATGAATGCATGATGCACTACGTCATAATCAACATCATCACAGGATCGTCAAGTTGCATCATCATTCTTGAAAATTCATCAACACGTCATGGTATTATATCATCATTATGCATCGCATGTCTTCGTATTACATCACAAATCAACATGTTATACTCATCAAAATGCAACACGTCAACCACTCAAGACATACGAATAACAAGGCACCAGAGAGCACAACAAAAGAAAAGAAAAAATAAAACTATTGCTCATGCTCGCCTGGTGTTCTCCCGATGAAGCAACTCGCTCGCCTGGGTTTCGCCCAACGAAGCAGGAGCGAATCCCCTCCTCCATACAAAAACCAGGAGCACACATTTTTCACCTTGCCCTCGCTTCCAATTTCATCGGGCGAGGTTGGGGTAAAATTGCTTCGCCCAGCAAACCGGTCAATTCGCCTGGCGAAATTGCGCGAACCTGCAACTTCTCAGTTGCAATTATGCACCAGTTCAATCTCAATTCTCCATGGGGTTCCAATACCAACCAATCCAAAGTTTCTCATAATTCACTATGAAATCAACACAATAACAACAACACATTATAATAAGTTTCATACATACCATCTCATACAACTCAAAACCTCATCATAATCCCAACATGTTTTCCCAAACTCTCCAACTACCTACATACATCTACCCTTATATCAATTATAATGACAAACTATACTCCCAATACCTTAGGTAATTCGATTCTGATCTTCCTCTTGAGTTTTACTGAAATTTCTCTGAGCTCTAACTTCTTCCTCTTCCTTTCCTCAGAGTCGCCCTCCAAAACACGATTGTTCAAAATGAATTCTTCACTTCCATATTTTTCTTTATGTCACTCTTACCCCTTAGACCCTTAATATGATTTCTCAACTTTATCCTCACTTATTTCACTCAACTTTACTATTTTGCCCTTAGTGTTCCAATTATTTATTTAAAATAATAATAATAAGATATTCACATCATCCACTATTATTATTATCAAAATAATTCTAACAAATCATATACTTCTAAATATCCTTAACACCCTCTTAGCATCAAAAATACCTTCCAACACAAATCATCAGACATCAAAATATATCACCAAAATTTACCAAAAATCATGAATATTTATAATAAATAAATTAAATAAATATTCTAATTATTTTGGGGCGTTACACACATCGAAAAAAATCCCCGTTGAAAATTTTCCTCTCGTGATCATTGCTACAGTCGAAAACTTTTATGTATATCAAATCCTCATCGACCACGAAAGCTCTTATGATATCAAGTACTCTGAGTTATTCGAGAAATGAACCTAAAATGGAGCAGCTTGTTGCCATATGATAGCTTATACCTTCAAGCATTCCACAGAACCACAAACCGTCCTTAGTAATATGTAGAAATAATATTTTTCGTTGGCAGTGGAGAAGACATCCGAGCGATAAATTCCCAATATTTTGTTGTTCTTTGTAGAAGTGTTTACCGTTGTAACTTGGGACGACCATTTGTGGCCATGCTAGATGATGTTTCCTTGTCGATCCATCTCAAACTCAAATACCACAACCTAAAGGGAGAATCGACAACCATCAATGTCTATTTAGAGGGAGCAA